CCCGAAGAGGATAATATCTGCTAGCAGTATACTTGGGCTGGTACACATGGTTTCAGAGCTCGTTAGAAGTTGTTCCCTAAAGGGAGTAGATACAAGGCGTTGTGCTAGAAGGACATTGAGCCCTGAAGGGGGTGAATTTGGTGGAGTCCCACATCGATTGGAGAAAGGAACAAGGGCCTTGAAGAGGGGTGGCTTGTGAAAATTCCACATTGGTTAGGGAGGAGAACGAAACACTGTTTATAAGGGTGTGGAAACCTTTCACTAGCAAACATTTTTAAACTCAAAAGAGAAAGCCCAAATAGAACAATATCTGCTAGCGGTGAGCTTGAGCCGTTACATCAGGACTATTCACTCTCATTTAGTCGCCGAGTATCTTGTTTCATTTAGGTTAATAAAATATATTTCGATCTCTATTCTCTCAAATTTGAAGGTTTGCTCGAGGCTGTTCACTTCCATTTAGGTAGGTTTGTTCGGACGAATCAGATGTCAAAATTTAATGGATATTTTTTTATAAAAACTAATTTTGTAATTTAATATTTTTTTAATTTTTTTTTTATCCTTCCACTAAATTTAATAGCGAATTTGATATATTTTTATTTAATTATTTATATATGCAACCATATTATATTTGAATTTATTTAAAATATTTATATTATTGGAGGACATTTAAATAAGCATAATTTCAAAGGGAAATAATTACAAAAATATATCCAACATCTAAATTATTAAAAATTATACCTATGGGCCCACGCAGGATTATGAAAGGCGGTGTAAAAAGACTCATGAGCCCCTATTGGTGCTTAAATTTTGATATTTATAATTTTTTAATTTAAATAATGAAAATAGATAAATAAAAAATATATTTATAACTGTCCCTATATTTAAAGATCCTTTTTCTTTTTTTTTTTTTACTAAATTAATGATTGTTGTATATATAAAGTATAAATAGAGTGATATATAAATATGTAATAATTATAAATTATTGTGTGTAATAATTAAAACCATATATTTTAAAAATAAAATAAATAGAAAATACAAATAAAAATAAAGTATAAATTCATAAAAATATCCATGATTTTTAAAAAATTACACTAGTACCCTTAAGCACAGTACTCGAAGTAAGAGTATTTTTGAACTTTTTAAGAAATTTGAAGGGTATTAATGAATTTTTTTAATTTTATTATTAACAATTTTCATCTAAAATTAATGATAATAATTTTTTTAATTTTTATTTAAGTTTAAAAGTATTATTGAAAATTTTGAAAGTTTATGTTTATTTTTTAGAGGTATTTTTATTATTTAATTTAAAATTAAATACGTATAATAATGACCTTTTTTGACGATATAATAAATTAAATTAATATTTGCCCATTAAGTAATTAGAGTTGGGCCTGGGCCTGGGCCCAATCGACAGAAAAGGACTCTCGGCCTTGGAGTATCCATCAGCGCCAACAAGTCCGCCTCTCTGCAATCACGAGTATCGTCTTCTTTCTTAGTTTCTGCGAACTGTAATTTGCCTCGAACGAGTCCAAAAATGGCGCAAAGGACGAAGAATATGAACATTTGGTACCTATTCATGATGCTAAATTTCAATCTGCTGCTTCCTTTTTCATCTGGTAAACTTCATTTCTTGATCTGCTTTCTTCCTCGATTTCTTTATTTGATTGTTCTGCAACGTAGTTTACATATGAGGCATGTGTTCATGTTAGATTCATTAAAAATGGTTCATGATTGAGTTGAATTGAAATATATTTGAGTGTAATTGTCATTATTGTGCCTGATTTCCCGGAAATTGCAGCTGTGGTTTGGTTCTGCGAATTGGGATATAATCTTACGAGATTGTTTGGATATTTGGAAAATTATTAGTGTTTTGATCCTTCCGATTTTAATTTTCTACTTGAGAAATCTGATGATGTGTCGTTCAATTTATCTAGTCTTTTGTTTCTTATCAAAGCATTACTCACTGAGCAAAGGATTTATTTTTTCTAACACAAAAAATTATTGTAATCACTAGATTCAACATCATATTGAATTAGTTTCTTATCAATCTGTAGGTTGTTCAAGTTTGGATCAACTTCAGTTATATATCTGTCTCATATCCAATTTGGATCACTAGATTCATCATCATATTGAATTAGTTCCTTGCTTATTTGTGATTGTTTTACATGGAAGGAAGAAATGGCTATGCCGTATTTTTCATTTTCTACTGGTCATAGCATGGATATTGAGAGGAAGACTATTTTACCTCTTCTTTATTTCTTAATTTTTTTACAATGCAAATTAAGGTTCGTTTTACAAAACTGTGTTTTTCTTGTAGGAGAATCAAATGATGTCTGCGTTTCAAAAGGTGGTCGTTTCGCACCCTTCGCAATGGAAGGAAAACCTCCAAAAAAGGTTAGCAAAGCACAAGATTTGACGCTTTGTCGAGTCTTCAGAAAGAAGACTTGCTGTGGTGTAGCTCAAACATACCCAGCTTTGCTTTCTTTTAGGAGGCTGGCTTCAACAGGGGAAGGCAACCAAGAATGTTTGCAATTGTGGGAACTTCTGGAGTGCTCGATTTGTGATCCACTAGTTGGCATTCAACCTGGACCTCCTCTTATATGTCCCTCTTTCTGCGACAGAGTCTTCAACACCTGCTCTGATGCTTACTTTTCTGTTGATGCTAAAACACAGGTGAGCAGATGATAGATATTGTCCTCTTTGAGTTTTTCCTTCTAGACTTCCTCTCAAGGTCTTAAAACACGTCTGCTAGGGAGAGGTTTCCACATTCTTAAAAGAATGTTTCGTTCCCCTCTCCAACCGATGTGAAATCTCACAATCTATCCCCTTCGGGGCCCAACGTCCTCGTTAGAACTCCTTCCTTTCTCTAATCGATGTGGGGTCTCACAGACCTAGATATTCTTTGGAAGATTAACCATATGAGGTTTCAAAAAACTGATAGTCATTAGAGGTACATATGAGGTTTCCAAAAGTTGACTGTCTTAGAGGCACATAGGTAATGGCACTCATTTTAGAAGGAAAAATAAAATGTCATCTAATTGCTAGTAAACTATACATTAATGCTTCTATTTAGATTATACCATCGTTGTGTTTAGTTGTCTAGCACATCATTCCAGCTCAGGTGAAGTTTATCAAATGGGCATGTTACATTGAGGACTAAATTTATAGTTTAACGTAACTTTTATAGTTATTTCATAATATAAAATTGATGGAACGTCGTTCAATTTTGTTAGTTTGTTATTTCCATCTTTCTACATGCATGATGTTCTCTTAACCAACGTAATGAGAAGTAAAAGCACGAACTCGAACCTTGCCCACAATGCAAGACTAAATTGATTAGATTTTATGGTTCAGGTTCTAGCACCGTGCGGAGTGAATGACTTTGTGTGTGGCAGGGCTTCTGAATGGGTTTCAAATGGGACGCAGCTTTGCAGTGCTGCAGGTTTTTCAGTTAAGATTCCGAACGACGAAACCTCTTGCTATGGTAGTAAAGCCAGACTAGACTCCATTGCTAATTCGTGGAAGTCTTCACCATCTGTAGTGGTTTCGCAAAGAACAGGGCACTTGGGTGTTTTAGAGGATTTCCAGCAATGGGTGAAAGAAATGAGTTTCCGTGAACAGGTTTCTTGGCTGATCAGTTCCATGGTGCTTTCAGCTGGGCTTCTCCTTGCAAGGTTGAGGAAGCTAACCATTTTCACTTCTTGGTCTTTTGTTTTCCCTGGCTTGCACTAAATTTTGGCCCTTCATTTCTTCAAGTTTGTCAATGGCTAGGCTTTAGGTATTAGCTTCAATAAGATGGGTCCGGTAACGCGACAGGTAAAACTCGAAATGTAGTTAGCAAGGGCTCGTGTTCTTAGTTCAAATAATTACTCGATCGACTTAAATATTGAAACTATGTTACTTATTAGTGTTTGATGTTGGAAGGAAAGGGGGAAAGGAGTTTTAGACTCAAAATGTTCTAGTTGTTTATTTTCATGTGTTCTATTCTTATAATGTCTATAATGCAGCAAAAGGAAAAGTCATATCCAGCGCCAGAAATACGATGCTATTCGACGAGCAACGAAGAAAATGGAAGCAAGTATGAGTCCGAATTCTCTTGGCACTCAAGGAATCAGGAAAAGAAGTAGAAGATGACTGTAACCTCACATCTTAAGAAACTTTGTTTGTCGATTTTGCAAGGTAAAACCATATCTCTTTTCTATTAACTTATAATGCTCGTATGCTCGTTGCTTCATTGTATTCTTTTTCTCTCGCTTATATTCATATAGGTTGCTCGTTGCTTCACTGTATTCTTCTTCTCACTTATATTCATTTAGGTTGCTCGTTTGCTTCACTGTATTCTTCTTCTCCCGCTTATATTCATTTAGGTTGCTCGTTTGCTTCACTGTATTCTTCTTCTCTCGCTTATATTCATTTAGGTTGCTCGTTTGCTTCACTGTATTATTCTTCTCTCGCTTATATTCATTTAGGTTACTCGTTTGCTCGTCGCTTCATCGTATTCTTCTTCTCTCACTTTTATTCATTTAGGTTCATCACGTGGCTGAAAACTCGATTCTGATTTCCACAAGTTCTAATACTCGAAAAATTCGAAAAAGTAGCAGCCATGGTAGCCCTTCCGTTAAAATGAAGGAGAAAAAGATAAAAGAAAAGTGAGTTATCTAGTTGTACAATGGTAGAAAGGATTGGAAATTGTGATAAAATTCTATGGATTGTGTATTTAAGAGAAAATCTCTCTTTTTTTTGTTGAAAAGGTTCATTACTCGTACAAGAATTTTGGTGACCATAACAGTTTGTTGCTGTGTAACTGTTGAAGCAGAGCTTCATTGACTTGGTAAGTTCTTTAAGTTTAAAAGTCTTCATATTTATTTGATTGTGTTCTTTCTTTCCCCTTCTTGTTGTTTGGAATATCATTAGGGTTTGTTCAAAGAATTATGCTTTTGTTAGTGAATTTAAGAAGAAAAGAACGGAAAAAAAGCCTGTGGAATTCAATCAAAAGGATTAAAGAAAAGAAATTCAATCACTTATAATCATCATGGAAGAAACATCTCTCTTTACACACACAACTTCTAAATCTACCACCTGTTTGAATACCGGGACATAGACATACTCGATTTTTACAGCTTCGATCGACCGAACTCCGTCATGATGGTCATTACAAGCTTGAAAACTATGAACAACTCGAGCTTGGTCTTCGTCTTCCTAGGATCGAAAAGGAGTTCCTCTGTGTAATCAAGCTCTTCCAATTTTGGGAGGCTGCTTGAGAAAATATATGAGGTAAACTTTCGACATAACAAGATTCACGAGCTCTATTTGACAATGTTGAGCTGAAATCGAAAGTAAGATGTTAGAGGAAGATGTTTGGATCATACCTTTTTAAGGATTACACCTGAACTACTTCCTGAGGGGTTTAGCTCGGGTTTCAATATCTCAAAAGAACAAACTAGAGATTCATCGACGCTCAATAGAGCACCTGCATTGTCGAACTCTCCACCGTAGTTTGGAGCCGAGAATATTGTGACCAATCTTCTTTTGGCAAAGAATTCATATCCATCCTCCACCACCTGTGTAATAGAATGAACAGAACTCAAAACTCTAAACATCTAGGACAATTCATATCCATCCTCTACTTATCCTAGTTGTTTGATCAAGAAACTGGTTTTCGTAACAGTGATTACGAAGCAAAAGATCGAAATATTTGCAGTTTATACTCCTCGTCTACGGGCAGTCTCTGTCTGTAAACTACAACAAGAACGCTTCGAAACACAAAAGGCAACATTTCATATAGAGTTAACGAACAAGCTTGTTTACCTGATGACCACGACAAATGAGATCAAGGTCATTCTTTTCTAAGAATTCAACCACTCGATCTGCTCCGAAAGTACATGAAATGCCCCGATCGCTGTCTGCCCATCCCTGAATACTAGGATCAGGATCGGACCAAAGCAGATCACAGAGAAGGCCGTTGTCGGGAATCTCGGTAGGCCTCGGAAGTTGCATAATCTGATCCAAACTTTTCAAATCTGGAGATATTCCTCCATGCATACAAAGGATCTTGTCATCAATAAGTCCAGCCACAGGCATGCAGTTAAAACAATCAGTAAATATTTTCCATAGCCTAACGTTAAACCTCCTTTTACATTCGTCGTAGAAGCCATAGATTCGGTTGATCTTCGCATCTTCGTGGTTCCCCCTCAAGAGAAATACTTTATTTGGATGTCGTATTTTGTACGCCAAAAGTAAACATATCGTTTCCAAACTTTGCTTCCCTCGGTCGACATAATCGCCAAGAAATAGATAATTAGCAGAAGGAGGGTACCCACCATACTCGAATAATCTAAGAAGATCTTTGTATTGACCATGAACATCACCTGTAATAAGCCAGCAGAGCCCAGATTTAACAAGATGCAGCATATGAAACGAGGTTATAATTCAAAAGCATCGAAACGAAAAGGCAAAAATTGCATCAAGAGTCGAGCATTTGGGATGCACGAAAGCTTGATTCATTAAGATTTACACAGACAAATAACCTAAGGGAGTGTTTAGTGTTCATCGACACACACGAAAGCTTGATTCATCAAGATTTACATAGACGAATAACCTATGGGAGTGTTTAGTGTTCATCAGCACGAAAGCTTGATTCATCAAGATTTACATGGACGAATAACCTATAGGAGTGTTTAGTGTTCATCGGCACGCACGAAAGCTTGATTCATTAAGATTTACATAGACAAATAACCTAAGGGAGTGTTTAGTGTTCATCGGCACGCACGAAAGCTTGATTCATCAAGACAAATAACCCGAGTGTTTAATGTTCATCTTGCCGATTAGAGGCTTTTAAGAACGAGAAACAAAACTTTTCATTGAAGAAATGAAAAGATATCTCGTAGATTGAGTTTATATAGCTTAGAATACAAAATCGAGCCTACACGTGAATTTACTCGTCCAAACTACACATTTGCTAATCCTACAAACTCCATAGCTGAAGCTTTTGCAAGCCACAATGAACAATACCTAAACAACAAGTTCGTCAATTCTACCAACTCCAAACACCAAAACCTTTAAAACCCACAAACTAAACACCAATCCTTACCAATCCCATAGCTCCCGCAATTCCCGTTCTTTCTATTATCCCATTTTCTTTCGGGAGAGGCGGCTAATACTAATCTAACAAGTTCATTCGTCGTCGTCTGACCAATTGCCTTGGACACACGGGCTCACCCTAAATGGAATGACTCTCTTAGTTACACTGCGCCCTAACCCAAGTCCCCATGTCTGCTCTTCCCCCCCCCCCCCCCCCCCCCCCCCCCCCCCCCCCCCCCCCCCCCCCCCCCCCCCCCCCCCCCCCCCCCCCCCCCCCCCCCCCCCCCCCCCCCCCCCCCCCCCCCCCCCCCCCCCCCCCCCCCCCCCCCCCCCCCCCCCCCCCCCC